AATAGACTGTGATTTTAAATTGGACAAACAGATTAACTTGGTAGTTAAATCTAGTTTTTTCCAATTGAGACAACTCACCAAGGTGAAATCTTTCCTGTCATCTAAAGACTTTCAAAGAATCGTTCATATTTTTATTTGGATTATTGTAATGGCCTCTATATAGGTATTAGTCAGGCCTCTCTCTCCAGACTGCAGATGGTCCAGAATGCGGCAGCTCGACTGCTGACGGATACACGAAAGCAGGAACACATCACCCCCGTTCTTGCCTCTCTTCACTGGTTACCTGTCCATTTTAGGATTCAGTTTAAGATGTTGGTATTTGTTTTTAAATCTCTTAATGGTTTAGCACCTAAATAAGATTGATTAAGCTGTATGCTTCACATCACTTGTTGTTTTAAAAAAAGTGCTTTATAAATAAACTTTGACTTGACTTGACATATGAGCATTGCATTTAACTAAATATTTTACTTCAAAAACAACTAAATTACATCATTAACTAATTATTTGCTCTGTTATTGTTCATTTAGATGATCTGTGCGACCACAATAAAATAGGATGAAAAATACAGCGATTTTATCTTGAAAGCAGTTGAACCACTGGTGTTGTTAATAATAAAAATATAATATTGCCTAAAAAATAAAATACTTAGAAATAAATATTTCAATTTAAAAATGTCATTCATAAAAAGAAAAATAACTTATTAGGCATAAACTATATACATAATAATAATCATAAATGAATAAAGGTATAAAAGAAAAATGAACAAATAAAATTTAACAACCTAACAAGCAAATAAATTCTATAGGTAGCATTTCAAACATTACTTAACTTTTAATGTTTCTGAAAAGACCCTATATGCTGTGTGTTTATGGGCATTTCAATTTTTTTACATAATGTAAACATTGTGTTTGCATTAAACTGACTGTCTGTAATACTTATATACTCAAAAGGATCTTATGAGTTATATACTTCAAAAGCTACACTGTTTTGAAAGCAGTTTTAACGCTAGTTTTGCGGTGTGAGTAGCAGCGCTAATTTAGTATAAATAAAAACCATATATACCTTTTAAATAAAATAAATGCCTACAAAATAAAAATGAAATGCTACCAAATTTAATCTATAAAATTAATTTCTGGTAACATTTTATTTTGATAGTCCACTTTAGACATTCTACTAACAGTAAGTAACTTTGCAACCACATGTCAACTAGCAGTCATTAGAGTATTAGTAGACTGTTTGCTTAATATATTCTAACACTTTATTTTGATGGTTCCACAACATACAACATACTGATTATAAGAAACTGCAAGTATATGTCAACTTATTATACTAACCCTAAACCTAACCTAACAGTCTACTCTGAGAGTTAGTAGACATGTAGTTGCAAATTAATGAGAATTAGTTGACATGTTGTTGCAAAGTTACTTATAGTTAGTAGAATTAGTGGACTATCAAAATAAAGCCTAACCTAATTTCTTTCTGTCATAGTTCTTAACCTTAAATTATTAAAATACATAGTATAAAAATGTTGCAAATTAATGAGAATTAGTTGACATGTTGTTGCAAAGTTACTTATAGTTAGTAGAATTAGTTAGTGGACTATCAAAATAAAGCCTAACCTAATTTCTTTCTGTCATAGTTCTTAACCTTCAATTATTAAAATACATAGTATAAAAATACAATACAATCATTATACATTTAATAAATAAATAAATAATACTTAATAAACATAAATAAGTAAACAAATAAATTCTATAGATTAGCTTGCCAAACTAAACTATCTATCTGTTATACTTATATATTCAAATGCTACACTGTTTTAAAAGCAGTTGAACTACTAGTGTTACGTTAGTAGCAGTGCTAGTTTAGTATAAATAAAAACACTATATTACTCAAGAAATAAAAATGAAATGCCACTTACTGAAATAAAATTTCTATCAAATGAAATGTTATTCCACTGTAGTTCATCAAAAGATAAATTATTAACTTACTGTATATCAATTATAGAAAATGATCATAAATGTATTTATTTAGAAAAATGTTAAATAAATAACAAATACATGAATGAATGAATAGGAATGAATAGAATAAGCTGAACAAATTTGTCTGTAAAGCCTATATACTCTTCCACTATTTTAAAAGCAGTCAAACTACTAGTGTTATTTAGTTAATAGCTAGTTGTATTTATTTAGCTTACCTTCCGGTGCATGTCGGTGGTAAAGTGGTCCACTTCACCATCCTCGATCTCACCCATCTTCATCCGGCTCACCACCACTGTGCCCACTGTAGCTGAATCATCTGCTGTCCTGAAACACATCCACACAACGACACATACACGTGTGTCAACGTCTTGTTTGAACATGAATGAGAGTGTCTAGATTACGCCCATCATCTTTCATTACATTTGTTCATTTCATCCAATCAGACTCATTGTATATTTGTATCATTTCCAATCAGAATGTCCAGTCTTCCGTAAAAAAAGGGACACTGCGGCCTCGCTAAGGTAACTCAAACCCATATCTGATATCCTGCAGACATTAGCATTGATTAAAAAAGATTACTGGTTTTCTCAGTAGTAACCGGCTGCAGGTTTGGCACGATCAGATCAGGCCCCAGCTGTGGCTGTTCACATGCCAGCAGACTTGGAGCGAGTCTGATATCTGAGGTTATTATTGACCTCAAATTAACTTTGAAGCTCGATTGAGTTGTGGAGGAGAGGAAAAGACATCCAGTCAGCCTTTAGAGGTGCATTGGCAAATTACCCATCCATGAACATGACCTAGACAAATCTAATTGGCCCTGGGTCTCTTTATGACAACAGTAAATCAGAGAGCGTTGTTATGAGAAGAGCTAGCGCTTTATGCTAATAGATCTGAATGAGACGCCGTTAGCAACCCATTTTACTTTTGTAATGTGACACTTTTCTGAGTGAAACAGGATATTTAATGACTGAAAGAAACGCAGGGACTTTTTATCCATTGGGGATTAATTGGAGAGCGACAAGTAGTCATTATATAGCAAAAATGGAGCTTGATGGTTGGAGGGGTTAATAAAGTAAAGTATTCTTGATGTTAATCGAAAAGGAAAGTCATTTCAGAGTTGTCACAAGTTATGGTGTGGTACTACTTTTTCCTATATATTTTTATCTCAAAGTGATTGTCACTATACAAGCTGTCAAACAAGAAGATCTTTGTGAAGTTTATGCACTTACTGTATATATACTACAAGCTCAAAAGATGTTTGTACCTGCCACCCACTGTGCATTGAGTCAGTGAGAGTTTTTTTTTAGAACTTAATTTTTTCAGCAACAATGCATTAAATTGATCAAAAGTGGCAGTAAAGTCATTTATAAGATACAAACGATTTCTATTTCAAATAAATGCTGTACTTTCTATCCATCAAAGAATCCTGATAAAAATGCGTCATAGTTTTCACAAAAATATGAAGCAGCACAATTGTTTCCAACATATAATAAATGCTTCTTGAGCAGCAAACCAGCATATTAGAGTGATTTCTGAAGGGTCATGTGACACTGAAGACTGGAGTAATGATGCTGAAAATTCAGCTTTGATCACAGCAATAAATGACATTTTACAATATTTTCAAATAGAAAACAGTTATTTTCAATTGTAATACAATTGTAGTCAAAATTATAAGATACTAAGTCAATTATGAGATAAAAAGCCTAAATTATGAGATACTAAGTCAATTATGAGATAAAATATCTTAATTATGAGATACTACAGTATGTTGATTATAACATAAAATGTCAAAATTATGAGATACTACAGTATGTTGATTATAAGATGAAATATCAAAATTATGAGATACTACAGTATGTTGATTATAAGATAAAATATCAAAATTATGAGATACTACAGTATGTTGATTATAAGGTAAAACGTCAAAATTATGAGACACTAAGTCTATTATGAGATAAAAATGTTGAAATTATGAGATACTATGCTGATTATGAGATAAAAAGTAAAAAATTATGAGATACCAAGTCAATTATGAGATAAAAAAATCTAAATTATGAGTTAAGTCAATTATGAGACAAAAAGTCAAAATCATGAGATATCAAGTCAATTATGAGATAAAAAAATCTAAATGTTTAGAAACTAAGTCAACTGAGATAAAAAGTCAAAATTATGACTTATGAGTTAAAACATCAAAATTGTCATCGTGACTTTTCACCTTATGATTTCTAATTTTTGTCAATTTTGACTTTTAATATCATCATTTTGACTATTTATCTCATAAATACATCCTATGTCATAATTCTGAATTATCAAAAAATTATTTTGTTTTCAACCCTTTTATTCTGGTTCATTGAAAAACACAACATATCTGACAATATCACATCTTAAATGCAAATGACCCAATATTAAATTTGTTTATTAAACTGTTGTATAAAATCAATATCACACAATCATGCTGCCTCCTTGTTACTTATTAACTCAGAAATGGCTCCAGCCATTGTTGCGCATTTTAATTTTAGTAACTGAGTCTTGGCATCTTTTGAGCTAGGTCTGCATATACACGTATCATGTACCAAAGTCCTGCATAGTATAAAAAGGGCAAAGGAAAGAGCAGCAGTGGTGAGAATCATAAATCTTCACACATACAGAATCACAAGACTTGATGATTTATGATGCCTTTGAACTCACAGCTGACTCTGACACTATTTCCTACTGCGAATAACAGTCAATTAAGAGAGGCAGAATTAATATTTCTCTCTCAAAAATACATACATGTCTTTATTTTGAGCTAGAGGGCATCTCAAGGACACAGTGCCTTCCACACAAAGAAGACCTCATAGTCAAGATACTGTATTGGTGCCGCTCACAAAAGGACTGAGATAGGTTGAATTTGAACATGATATTCAAGAGAAAGAGACGTGAAAAGCTAAATGAAGAGTGACACTGAAAAGAAGCACTTCAGTGGAATGTAAGAAACCAACCTTACTCTTCACCAGCCGACATGCTGGGTCCGTGTCAACCAAAGTGTCTATAAAACCTGCAGAAGAGTGATCCCTTAGCATTGCCATTCAGTTCAGTTTCTCGGCTGAAGTATACCCTTTGCAATCTGCCGTCTTTGCTTAAGAGCACTGAGATTCACAGTTTATTTTTCCTTGACTGCCATCAAAGAATAAAAATAAAATAAAATACAAAACAACTTAACAACATTTAAAAATAAAATATAAAACTAAATGAAAAATAAAATACAAACTAAAAAATACAATAAAAAAATAAAACAAAGCAAATATAATACAAACCAAAGTAAAATCTAAAATTAAATTAAATGTAAAAATAAAATTAAAAATAAAATAAAATAATTTAAATAAAATAAAATAAAATAATAAAATGTATAATTGTGTGAGCTGATAGCTCATGGATAAAAAAAAAATAATACAATTTATTAAAACCAAAACTGTTGTATACGTGCCACCGGCCTCGCTCCGTTCCCACGGCTCTCGGCCCCGCCCCACTCATCACAACGTGTTAATAAAACTGTCATACATTCTTGATTCTTGGTATTATTCCTCAAACTGCTTTTCTCCCTCACAAGTTCAATCAAAAACCGATTTTGTGAACCGATTTAAATAAATAAACTCAAACGAACCCACTCAAAAGAACAATTCATTCATTCATTGCTAGTCGACTCTTTTATGGATGATTAGTCAAAATGAAGCAGCGGTGTAACCGCCTTTATTTCTCCCATACATCTCACCCCACCTGCTGAGAAATCCTCCGATTTTTGACCTACATAAAAAGCCGGACGGTGCTAAAAATAGCTTGCTGGTTTTATGATAGTCTGAAAGAGTAATGCTGGCACGATTCTGTAGAGCAAATGAGTGAAAGCGACTCTGGATCCTTGCAAATTAATGAGCCATTTCTTCCCTTTGCTTTTCCCATGACTCAGCAGTAATTGCATTCGGATGGCCGTCTCAATCAGAGCGTCGACACACTGAGCTTCTGAACAGATGCTTGTTTTGGAGCATTTCCAGTCTTTTCCAAACAGACGCTATGCAACAGCTACTCATGAATATGAACAACCAGCTCCCTTGCTATTTTTACAGTGAAGCATATTAAATGAATTGAATTCATTCAGAAATCATGTTGCAGGCTGCGGCGAGAGGACGGTTTATCTGGCCGCTCGATATTATTGTGTATTAAAGCGGGCGGCTGATGGATGCCGCTGAGCGCTGTGAAAGGTCATTCGTCAGTTGGTTTCCGAGGGCTGTTAAAATCTCAGCCTCAAACGAGGTCATGTTATGAAGCTCATGTCTAAAGCCTGAGCGCTATAACCGTGTATTATAGACTCTGTGTTTCATTCTAGAGAGGTGGTGATCTTTTAAAAAGGTTAATTGAGAAATAGGTCAGTCCATGTATGGGGATCATTACTATGGCGAACGCAAAACCTGTCAAGAACACGTCTGGGTCAGATTTAACCCTAAATTCACAAGAAAGAAATTAGAAATTATATTTTGCATAAAGAAAATGTAGTCTATTTTTGCATTTGAGTTGTAAAACGTCCAGAAAAAATCTGTCTAGCTGACAAATAACAAAAATGATAATTAGTTTGACCAATATTTTAACTTGTATTCTTATTATTCTCAATGAGCAGTTATTAGTCATCTAAATGTCCAAAAGCACAACTATAAATGAAAAATTATGTTATTAAACATTACAAATTAATGTTAAAAATGAATTAAAAATTAAATTAATTAAAATAAAAAATTAAATAAATTGATTATTATTATTATTATTATTATTACTATTATTATTATAGAAAATAACTAAAAAAAATAACCATGTGGGGTCATTATTGGGGTGATTGTGAATCCTGTCAAGAACTAAAAATTACAAATTAGAACTAAAATTCCACATCTAATTAAAGTTATAAAAAAAGTTAATTAATTAAACAAGTACTAATTAATATGATCGCTATGATGATTACAGAAAATAAACAAAAATAAATAAATATTTGTTGGATAATTATTAGAGCAACTACAAAACCTGTCAAGAACAAGGTCATATTTAACCCTAAAATCAAAAGAAAGAAATGAGAATGTATATTTTGCATAAAGAAAATGTAGTCTATTTTTATACTTGTTTTTAATTGTGATATAATATTACCATGATAGATTAAATTTCCTCAAAACACAGTCTCATAAGAAAATTCATTTCTGGTAAGTAAGTAAGTAAGAAAGCAAACAAATAAATTAATTAATAAATGAATTAGTTAATTCAAAATTGAAAGTTATAGATATAGATATATACATACAAACACAATTTTCTGT